CCCCAACAGTCTGTTAAGGCTACACGGGGGACCTTTGTTTGTTGTCAGAGACCAAATGTGTTTAACATCAAACACCAGCGCGTGGCGCTCCCGCTGTGTTGCGGGCGGTGCACGAGGACGACAATAAATCAACTTAACACGTTCGCCAACAACAAACGCCCCGTCACCTTGAAAGGGAAGACAAGGCGTGAAAGAGGCAACGATTTTTCGGGCAATGTTTCCTGCTTTTCGCGCACCGAGGATAGGCCGGGGGCGACAGATCGAGAGACCCGAGAGACGCCGCGAATAATAGCCGGAGACTGCACAAACTGATAACACCGCCATGGAGGGCCCATGGTGGTGTTATTAGGAAGCCACTGGCGCTATGCACTTTTAACAAACAAACAAAAATCTAGATTGAAAAACTCATTCATTTCAGAACCGCTTGTTGCGTTTCGTTTGTTATCCGTCCCCCGCACCTCCGATCAGCGCGGTCGGTTTCCGAACGGTGCGAAAGAAAGTTGAACGCACATACGCACGTGGGCGTAAAGAGAGACGGAGTGAATAATAGTTGGGAGACTTCACTCATGCACCACGGGGCCCTAGCAAAGGCACGCGCCTGGGGGTAGCGTCTCAGTCAGTGCCCCTGTCGGAACCCCGTGTACGTGGTCCGTGGGTCCGAGCAACTTCAGTTGCAGCGACGTGCATGGCCACTCCTCGGAGCGAGTTGCTTGACGACGATTGAATGCTCCGCTCATTTCAAGCGGAGCATTCGATCGTTCGCTGTTATTGTCCTCGCGAATACAGCAGAACCACTTTAAACACATTTTTGTTTTTTTTCTATTTTAACCAGGTAAGGCCCACTGAGCTATGAGCGTCTTTCTCAGATGCGGCCTGGGCACAATTGATAGCCCAACGAGGCGGCGTTTCATCGCGTGGACATTTATAGCGGACAAATACTCTGAACGCACGACGTTTCTAAACGTGGAGGCAAAAACCGGAGGACCTGGAGAAAAATATACGCGACCATGGGGAGAGGCACACCACAAACTCCAAATATTCAGGCGTCAGGGTTGAGATCGAACCCACGACAGCCTGCATACCAGGGGAGGGAGTTAACATCTCGCCACCGTGGGTCACGTGGCTATCCCACCTGAGGTGGCGCTGACAGGCAAAATACTAAACAAATTAAGTAATATTTTTAAAAACTTTTTTTTTAAACACGCTTTAATGAAATGTACCGTACAAGTAATGGAAGAACTCCACGACTCCAGGAAGTGGCCCCGAAACTTGCCACAACGTAAGGGGGACCGTGACCAATTACAGCCAACGTCAGTTGAGCGTGGAAAATTAGACCAAAGCCGAAACATAACATATAAAAAATATTGTTTAAGAATATGTATTATTTTATGATAGAATATAGTATTGTCATCAGTATGACATATGTATACCAAGTTTGCAGTCGATACCACATTGGGAAGTGGGTTCAAATTGAGGACACGACAACAACAGACAGTGAGTTAAATAAAAGCGTGTAAAATAAGACAATTCGCCTCCTTCCCCGCATCTGTCCCTCATCCCATCGGCAAGGCAGCCTTTTGGGAGTGCATAATTCCAGCACCGTTGGTTCAACACAAGCAAGACTGTGCGTGTATGGACCGGTTTCCACATTCAGCGTCTCATCAGCAGTCGGGCTGCTCGAATCAATGCCGGCGAACTGCCAGATGTTGTGCATAAGCGAGGACCCCTCCCTGCTACACATGGGGTCCCAGTTACATGCGAGAAGCTCGTGGTTAATTTGTGAAATATCTTCTCTGGGCTCAAGGCCAGGCACCCTCCACTTGGCACGGCTGGCTTACGTACGGTGCGAAATCATTTCAACACACAGCGCACAATCACACACGGGTGGAGCAGAGGTAAAGCGAGTGGCTCGCGAGCGGGAGACTGCGAGTTCAAGTCCTGGTTGCAGGGGAGGGGGGGGTGACTCAGCCTATCATCATCATCCTTTCTCCCTCCCGGGGTCGATAAAACGACAAGCAGAAATGAATTTGTAGGGATGTCAACAGTGGTGGCATCAAACGGCTCCCGTCCCGCCTACCATGGCAATGTGGCATTTCCTCCACTGGCTGTGGGGGCTGTAAACAGGAGATGAGCAACAATGGGCCTGAACAATGTGACATTCCTTTAGACCGGGGGAGCGGGGTAGTGGCATAGTCAACTACATTATCAGTGGTGTAGTAACTACATTATCAGTGGTGCAGTAACTACGTTATCAGTGGTGTAGTAACTACATTATCAGTGGCCTAGTAACTACATCATCAGTGGCCTAGTAACTACATTATCAGTGGTGTAGTGACTACATTATCAGTGACGTAGTAACTACATTATCAGTGGCGTAGTGACTATATTATCAGTGACGTAGTAACTACATTATCAGTGGCGTAGTAACTACATCATCAGTGACGTAGTGACTACATTATCAGTGGCATAGTAACTACATTATCAGTGGCCTAGTAACTACATTATCAGTGGTGTAGTAACTACATTATCAGTGGCGTAGTAACTACATTATCAGTGGCATAGTAACTACATCATCAGTGGTGTAGTAACTACATTATCAGTGGCCTAGTGACTACATTATCAGTGACGTAGTGACTACATCATCAGTGGCCTAGTGACTACATTATCAGTGGCCTAGTGACTACATTATCAGTGACGTAGTGACTGCATCATCAGTGGTGTAGTAACTACATTATCAGTGGCCTAGTGACTACATTATCAGTGACGTAGTGACTACATTATCAGTGACGTAGTGACTACATCATCAGTGGCGTAGTAACTACATCATCAGTGGCCTAGTGACTACATTATCAGTGACGTAGTGACTACATCATCAGTGGCCTAGTAACTACATTATCAGTGACGTAGTAACTACATTATCAGTGGCCTAGTGACTATATTATCAGTGACGTAGTAACTACATTATCAGTGACGTAGTGACTACATCACCAATGGCCTAGTAACTACATTATCAGTGGCGTAGTGACTACATTATCAGTGACGTAGTGACTACATCATCAGTGGCGTAGTAACTACATCATCAGTGGCCTAGTGACTACATTATCAGTGACGTAGTGACTACATCACCAATGGCCTAGTAACTACATCATCAGCTCAGGGGGTGCGGCAATCAGTCAGCGAGGGATCAGGGTGGGGGGTGGGGTGTGGGCCCACCCGTGCCCCCCCAACAATATTGTGATTTGTCTCTTCGCAAGTTCGCACCTAGAGGCTATTATTATATATCGCGGGCTCCTCTTGGCCCGAACCACATCACGTCGTTACGCTCTCACGGTCTCGAACATTGAACGCTGTAGGGGGAGCGCACATCCAATCTTCACAAAAATGCAGCCACTACCAGCTCCAGTAGTAGTTAACCCCAGTGAAATATTTCGTTACTGCTCCAATTGCATTACCATAAAAAACGTATAAGGGACCATCCATAAATGACGTCACGCGATTTTGGACGATTTTTGATCCCCCCCCCACCATCGTCACACGGCGTCACAAAAAGTCAGACCCCCCCCCTCAAATATGACGTCACAAAGCTCTGCCCCCCCCCCACACAAAAAATAAAGCATGCTTCAAATGTAGTGCGTATTTAATGTGCCGCTGCACTCTGATGTTGCAGGAGAAAACATTTATTAAAAAGTCTATTTAATCAAGTAGACCCTGTTTATATTTATTTAAAGTTGCGCATTTTGATGTGACGTCACACATCGTCACAAACGTCTGACCCCCACCCCCCCAGGTGCGTGACGTCATTTATGCACGGCCCCTAACGTAAATTAAAGCATTTCCATATAAATCATTTAACTGCGTTTTCAATATATTGTTGAGATATGAATTCCTCATAGTGGTTGTCAAGGGGAGCCCCAACTCGTAGCTTTGGCCACGTGAATGGAGAGAGCCAAGCCACCCCCTGCCTCCTCGCTAGTTGCTACTAAAACTAAACAATGTTTTTATTTTATTTTTAACAGGTTAAGACCCCACTGAGCTGCTGTTTCGCTCTTTTTCAGAAGCGGCCTGTGGCCACAAATGATAGCTCAACAAAAGTAGCTTATCGCGTGGGAATTTACAGTAGCAGACAAATCCTCTAAACCGCCCCAACTGGACATCTGTGGGAAAATAAAGCTTTTTACCTCATCGGATTCCTCCAGTATGAATAAATATTCCGCTTCTAAACGCGTGATGTTGATTCGGAATGCGGAGGCAAAAAAAAAACCTGGAGGACCCGGAGAAAAATCCACGCGACCACCGAGACAGGGTCGGGATCGGACCCCACGACCTCCTGCACATCAGGCGAGGGAGTCAACATCCCCTAGCCACCGTGATGATGATGAGAGAGACACGCAAACTCCAAATATACAGCAGCAGGCGTCAGGGTCGGGATAGAACCCACGAGCTCCTGTATACTAGGCGAGGTAGTTACACATCTCCTAGCCACCGTGATGATGATGATGAGAGAGACACGCAAACTCCAAATATACAGCAGCAGCGTCAGGGTCGAGACCGGACCCCACGACTTCCTGCACACCAGGCGAGGTAGTTAACATCTCCTAGCCACCGTGCTGATGATGATGAGAGAGACACGCAAACCCCAAATATACAGCAGCAGCGTCAGGGTCGTGATCGACCCCACGACTTCCTGCATAACAGGCGAGGGAGATAACATCTCCTAGCCACCGTGATGATGATGAGAGAGAGAGACGCAAACCCCAAATATACAGCAGCAGCGGTCAGGGTCGGGATAGAACCCACGACCTCCTGCACACCAGACGAGGGAGTCAACATCCCCTAGCCACCGTGATGATGATGATGATGATTTTGAGAGAGGCACGCAAACCCCAAATATACAGCAGCAGCGTTAGGATCGAGACCGGACCTCACGACCTCCTGCACACCAGGCGAGGGAGTCAACATCTCCTCTCCCCCCCTTCCCTTCCCTTCCTCCTCCTCCTCACCTCAACGAGACGCACGTAGGCGGCGGGGAACCATCCCTTGTCATCGCCCTTCTCACCCTCGCACCAGCCGTCGGTCAGTGTCTGCAGCACCCGAATCGTGTCGCCCGCGTCGAAGCGGAGCCCGCTGGGGTGGCCGTCGCCCGCGAAGGCGTAGACGGCGCGGCACAGCGAGCCCGCCTCCATGGGGAGAAGGTGGGTGACTACTGTGTTGCTGGGTGGGTGACTACTGTGTTGGTGGGTGACTACTGTGTTGGTGGGTGGGTGACTACTGTGTTGGTGGGTGGGTGACTACTGTGTTGGTGGGTGGGTGCGTTGGTGGGTGGGTGTGTTGGTGGGTGGATGGGTGTGTTGGTGGGTGGATGGGTGTGTTGGTGGGTGGATGGGTGTGTTGGTGGGTGTGTTGGTGGGTGGGTGGCTGTGTTGGTGGGTGGGTGACTATGTTGGTGGGTGGGTGTGTTGGTGGGTGGATTGGTGTGTTGGTGGGTGGGTGACTGTGTTGGTGGGTGGGTGTGTTGGTGGGTGGGTGTGTTGGTGGGTGGGTGGCTGTGTTGGTGGGTGGGTGACTGTGTGGGTGGCTAGCTCTGTGTGTGTGTGTGGGGGGGGGGGGGGGGGGGGCTGTGTGTGTGATGTGCTGCGTGTATGATGTGGTATTTACGCGTGTGTGTGATGTGCTGCGTGTGTGATGTGCTGCGTGTATGATGTGTATTTACGCGTGTGTGATGTGGTATTTAAGTGTGTGTGTGATGTGCTGCGTGTGTGATGTGCTGCGTGTATGATGTGGTATTTACGCGTGTGTGTGATGTGCTGCGTGTGTGATGTGCTGCGTGTGTGATGTGGTATTTACGCGTGTGTGTGTGATGTGCTGCGTGTGATGTGCTGCGTGTATGATGTGGTATTTACGCGTGTTGCGTGATATGCGACGTGGTATTCAGGCGCGTGCGGCAGGACATTCGATGTGGTGTCTGCGCGCGTCGTGTGATGCTGCTGCTGGTGGTGCTGGTGGTGTCACGCGATGCGCTGTGCGAGTGCACTCGCTGCGCGTGATGATGGTGATGTTGTGCCGAGCGTGATGATGGTGACGTTGTGCCGAGCGTGATGATGGTGATGATGTCCGGCCGACGCGTTGCGATGTTCGCGGTGATCAGCGTCCGTTCACGTCTGCGCGATGTGTACGCGTGATGCTGCTGCGATGGCGACTATGATGATGGTGTGCGTGATGGTGTGTGTGTGTGATGGTGTGGTGTGATAGTGTGCGCATACAGCGGTACACATCAGCCGGAAGGCGCCTGCAGTCCACGCATCGCCACTTAGGATGATATAATCCCAAAAAAGAGAAATCGCTTCTGGATCTTCTGCCCCCGCGAGTGTTATCCGCTGCCGCTGCTGGTGAATGTTGTTGTCGTGTTTTCGCTCCCTCCTCTCGTGCCGTGATGCTTGCCGAGCCGCTCTCTCAGTGTGTACATCCAGCCGGAGCAGCAGCAGCAGCAGTTGTAGTATCAGCAGCAGCAGTAAGTAGTAAGTAGCCTTAGCAGCGCGCAGCTGTGTGTCTTCCCGGCACGCGTTCCAATCCACATCCACCCAGACACCTCCTCATCCTGCTTCTCCTGCTCACCCACAGCGGCAGCGCAGAGCGAAATGAAAATTCAACTCCGCCTCTCCCTCCCCTCCCTCCCTCTCTCTCTCTTCGCCCGCTCTCTCTCTCTCTCTCCTCCCTCTCGCTCTCCCTCCACACGCACACGCGTCCGTGACGTGACCAAAAAAATTCACGCAAGACTGCCTTGCAAACCCGGCCCCCGTTTACAGAGAGATTACGCCCACTCACTCTCTCACTCTCTCTCCGCCACTCTCCCTGTCTCTCTCTTTTTTATTTTTACCATCAGAGGAAACAAGAAGATGCTCGGTGTAGTCGGCACTTTGCTTCGTTCATCATTTCGGTTTTTTGGGTTTTTTTTAATGCTTTGCTTTATGTAACCCCCCCTTTTTTAAATGAAAGATTTAACAAAATATTTCTCGCACTGCTCTCCTTACCCCTTCCCTCTCTCTCTCTCCCCCTCTCTGCCCCCCCCTCTCTCTCTCTCTACCCCCTCTCTTCCTCCTCCATGTCGCTCTCGCTCTCTCGCTCTTTTTTGTTATAACTACGACAAGTGCTGCATCTGCACGCAGCCCTCCCCACAGTCAAACGGCCTCCGACGGGTAGCTCATATCTGCCTCTCTTTTTTTTTACGATCAGAGGAAACAAGAAGATGCTCGGTGTAGTCGGCACTTTGCTTCGTTCATCATTTCGGTTTTTTTCAATGCTTTACTTTATGTGCCCCCCTCTCCCTCCCCCCCATGTTTAAATGAAAGATTTCACGAAAGATGTCAAGCTCTGCTCCTTCTTCTTACCCCTTCCCTCTCTCTCTCTACCCCCTCTCTCCCTATACTCTATGTCTATTTTCCCCCTGTTTTCTATCTACATCTTTTTTTTATTACGACGAGTGCTGCATCTGCACCAAGCCCTCCTCGCAGTCCTACGGCCTCTGACGGTCGCTCAGATCTGCATGCACAGAGCTCTCTACCGTCATCTGCCACCGAGCACACGGCCTCCTCCAGCGCCCACTGCTCCTTGAAGGCCGGCACGGCGTGGGTCAGCCGCGCACGGCGGAACTCCGGCCCACCACACCCCGGCTCCGACCAGAGCGTGGAAGATGCCCAGGCTGCTGGCCGGACATTGCCCCTCCAGGGCCACCTTCCTCGCCCTGTACACGGCGAGCTTGGCGTAGCCGAAGAGCAACGTTGACCGGCCCCTGAAGATGTTGGGGTCCGTCGCCCTTCGGGTATCCAAAGATGAGGACCGTCGGGGAGAAGTGGAGGCTGAACCTTAGGAGGATGTTTCTCAGGACCTTGAACAGCGAGTCCAGGCCCTTGCACTCCACGTATTGGTGCGCCACTCTCCCTCCGTCTCTCTCTCACCTATCGCCGTCATGTTTGTGTCCCCTCCTCCAAACCCCCCCCCACCCCACCCCATCCGTGATGACAAAAATCTGCCCCACCGTTGGAGGGGGAGTGGGGTAGTGAATCAGCAACAGCAGCAGCAGCAGCAGGAGGCAGCACGGCGCTCCCAGAGCTCCAGAAACGTGGGCACGGAAACAAATCGCTGACCACACCGCAATCGAGTAGCCAGCCACGTGCGTGCAAGGGAAAACTAGCCCCGTCATATGAACTATTGTGTACATGTGTGCTTGTTGAACTCTTTTCGCACCGTACGTAGCCAAGCGTGGCTAATCGGAGGTGCGGGGGAAGGACATCAAGCTTATGGGTCTCTGTGTGGGTCTATGTGTCTCTGTGTGAGTCTATAGGTCTCAGTTTGATTCTATGGGTATCTGTGTGAGTCTATGGGTCTCTGTGTGAGTCTATAGGTATCAGTTTGACTCTATGGGTCTCTGTGTGAGTCTATGGGTCTCTGTGTGAGTTTATGGGTCTCTGTGCGAGTCTATGCGTCTCTGTGTGAGTCTATGGGTCTCTGTGTGGGTCTATGTGTCTCTGTGTGAGTCTATGGGTCTCTGTGTGAGTCTATGGGTCTCTGTGTGAGTCTATGTGTCTCTGTGTGAGTCTATGGGGCTCGGTGTGAGTCTATGCGTCTCTGTGTGAGTCTATGGGTCTCTGTGTGAGTCTATGCGTCTCTGTGTGAGTCTATGGGTCTCTGTGTGAGTCTATGATCTCTGTGTGAGTCTATGGGTCTCGGTGTGAGTCTATGGGTCTCTGTGTGAGTCTATGGGTCTCTGTGTGAGTCTATGATCTCTGTGTGAGTCTATGAGTCTCTGTGTGAGTCTATGTGTGAGTCTATGGGTCTCTGTGTGAGTCTATGATCTCTGTGTGAGTCTATGTGTGAGTCTATGGGTCTCTGTGTGAGTCTATGGGTCTCTGTGTGACTCTATGGGTCTCTGTGTGAGTCTATGATCTCTGTGTGAGTCTATGTGTGAGTCTATGTGGCTCTGTGTGAGTCTATGGGTCTATCTAACCCCAACATCCCCGCATCTCCCCACTGCAAGTGTTGCCGTGGGGTTAACTCTCCGACACACAACCTGTGTGCCGTGCAGGTAACGAGTTGGCCACGTTTCGTTTTTGCGCGACACGACCTTGCTGATTGGCTGTGTCGGGTGGTGGCGGATTCAACGACACACGTTTTTAGTCACGCGATCTAACCCCAAAAACCTCCATTGTGGAGTACAACAACACGATAGGAGTGCAAAGTACAAGTAAGGGGCCGTCCATAAATGACGTCACGCGATTTTGGACGATTTTTTACCCCCCCCCCCCTCGTCACACGGCGTCACAAAAAGTCAGACCCCCCCCCTCAAATATGACGTCACAAAGCTCTGCCCCCTCCCCCCCCAAAAAATATATAGAACATGCTTCAAATCGCTTGAAACTATTGTCATTGTAGTGCGTATTTAATGTGGCGCTGCACTCTGATGTTGTATGAGAAAACATTTCTTAAAAAGTATTTAATTCAGTAGAACGTGTTGTCTATATTTGCGCATTTTTATGTGACGTCACATTTCTCAAACCCCCTCCCCCCCTCGTCACACATCGTCACAAATGGCTGACCCCCCCCCAGGTGCGTGACGTCATTTATGGACGGCCCCTAAGGTAAACAATTTACCCAAACTCATGCAAATAAAACGAAACCATCCCCATCCAAATAAACCTGGATAATCGACGAGTAACTTTATTCCCAATCGGTTTCACATGTAGCAGGCTTTCGCGACCAATATTATTCATAATAAAGGTTTTTTTGGGTGAGATCGCGTTATTTATAAATGTGTCGTGACCCTCCACCACCCGACACAGCCAGAAATTCGCCCGATGATGCCGGATGTAATTACCAGCCAAACGTCGTACTGCTCAAATTGTAAATGTTGTAGATTTACTCTCCAACACACCGGTGGGCCGAAGTTTGTAACTAACTGGCGTTTTATTTACGTGACAAATCCCTTACTAATTAGCTGCTTCGGGTAGAGGAGGGTTACGACACAACATTTATTCTTACGCGATCTAACCCAACAACCTTTATCTCCATATATATAAAAGGCAAAGTTGTGATTATGCGTGTCTGTTCAAAATGTTTAGCGTACTTCCCGACATGCAACAAACTTTAAATTTGCCATGTGGGTACTTTACAGTCTGTACACCATGCAAAA